AAAAGTTAATTTTTTGTAAAAAAGCTACCATTTTGAAACCCTGCCTGTGGGCTGTTAAAGGGTCAAATGTTCACAAAAATATATAAAATAATAGGTAAATATTTAAGGTATCTATAAAAAAAAAAATAATATTGATTCGATCATTTTTAAAAAAGTTATGGCAATTTTAAGTAAAAAATATCGAAAATTAGCGATTTTTAAATTTGTAATTTTTTGGGGGATTTCCCCCGTTTACGGGGAACGAGGGAATTTTTTTCAATTTTTGAGGGTAATTTCTTCGACTAGATACGATTTGTGATCTTTTGACATATTGTTCATCAAAATCGGTCCAGCGAGAGCTGAGATTGAGCGTTCACAGACACAAAAAAATAAAAAATAAAAAAACACATCATAGTAAAATTAATACCTTCTCAGCTTCGCATCGAAGCTAAAATTCTATATTTTCTATAAAATCAATAAATGAGATTGACAATTTAAAATTTGTTAAATTTTAAGTTTGCTTACATTAGTATAATACAGTTGTAAGGGTGTAATATATATTTAATACATATATTGAGCTCAAATTTGACCATACTTCACTAAACAATGGATAAGTAAGAGATAAATCATCAACATTGACCATTAGTTCAATTGAGTAATTTACAAGATAATAAGTTTTAAATTTGTCTAAAAATTGAATTAAACCTAACACAATTCATTATGTCAGTAGGATAATGAAAGGTTATCTTAATAATAGTACTTAAAGGGGTTTTTAGCAATTTCCTTGAAGACATAGGAAGATCATCAGGATTTCATATTTATACACTTTTAATAGCTATCCAGGACTTTTAGTGAAATATCTTCATTAAGAGCTTGACTAGCCAGTTGATTTTTATATGTATTTGATTGGTTACATAATTCACAATCAGATTTATTTGAAGAACATTATCTAAAAATTAAAAAAAATTATTAAATAACAATGAATACTTAATATTTATTTCTATTTAATTTAATGAGAAAAATGGTGCATAAAATTTTAATAACAATTAAATAATTAGTATTAGACTAATAGACTAGTTTGGCTTCCAGAAGAGCTTCTATGTTCTTCGTTCGCTGGTTNGAAGAGCTTGTATGTTCTTTGTTCGATGGTTAGACTAAAAGTCCCAATGCATTTTCAGTTTACTAGATCTTTTATACTAATTTTTTCCCGTTTTTTTTTGGCCAACAACAAATAACGTTGCTAAACAAATTTTCATTATTTCAAAAATATATATGTTATTTTATGATCACCATAATAGATTGTTTTCAGCCAATAATTAAATTATATTTTTTCAACTTTAACATATTGAAAAAAATTATTTTAGTAACGTTATTTTTTGTTGGCCAAAAAGTCTTGTTTACTTTTTATTTAAGCCAATTAATATAAAACAANATTTCTTGTTGGCCAAAAAGTCTTGTTTACTTTTTATTTAAGCCAATTAATATAAAACAATAACAAATTTTCATAGTGACCGAAATGAGTTATTTTACTAAACAAATTTAATGATTGTTAGCCAATCATTAAAAATATTTTGTTATGTTAATTGGCTTAAATGAAAAGTAAACAAGACTTTTTGGCCAACGAAAAATAACGTTGCTAAAATAATTTTTTTAGAAGCCAAACTAGTCTATTAGTCTCAGTCGCGTCGAAATCAAAATTCAAAAATCTTGAAATCAACGCGACATTAGCAAGTCGAACATATTGGCTATTTCCGAAAACAGCGGTCAAATTCATTTGCTATATTATTGAAAATAAATATGGCACCTTTGGAAATAGGAGATCGGATTGTCATAAGGTATTATGACTACATGCAAAATTTAACAGTTACCAAAGTAAATGACAAAAATCGTGAACAGCCCGAAGAGTATCGCTTTAAACTTCATGGAATATGTGGGCAATTTTTCGACACGTCCTCGATGAATATCCTTACCAATGTTATCATAAAGAAAGAAGTATTTAACATCGTAAGTGAAAAATATGTGTACATAACATTGTTATTTATACTTATATTTTTTAAGGCGTGTATTGACAAAAATGAACTCGTATTGACATATTCAACATCTAAAAAAAGTCTAAACACTCAGATTTGGAATGCTGAAATTTTGAAACCCAAAAACGTCGGCAATAGATATGAAAAGAATTATACATGGAAGAATGTGTATAAACCTGGACTTAAGCCGAACAATGACGCCGAACGTTATCCAGTGAGCAATGTAAAGCCGTATACGGCCCAAGATAGACTTATGAAATATCGTAAAATTGACGAACAAGAGTCAAATAAATTCAAACAACTCGAAAATAGACAACAATATAACACCAATAATACACGTGATTCAGCTCAAAACACTTCTGTATTAGCTAATAATTCCTTTAACACAAACATATCACAGTCAAAAAACAATCTTTCAACTCAACCGTTAAAAATATTGCCGGGAAATATTTACACGTCAACTCAAGAAAACAACACTTTAAAAAATAATCCGAACAACTTTAATAGAAAACCGCTTAAGAAATTAACAGAAATTATTGAAACATCAGAAGACCTGGAAAAAACTAAAAAAAATAGAACTTTACGATGTGAAAATAATAATAACAAAAAAATCGCTACTAGAACTCGTCCACATTAAAAAACATTTATGGGATAAAAGGTACTTATTGTTCTCTAAATTCGACCAAGGAATCATGATGGACATTGGTAATAAATTAATTATTTATATAAACTTTAGTATTTTACTGTTAACGATAACGTTTTTTTATTCAGAATCATTTTACTCCGTTTGTCCCGAGATCTTAAGCAAACATATAGCATTGAGATGCCCTGGTCTAGACGTCGCTATGGATCCGTTTTGTGGTGCTGGTGGAAACGTCATCCAATTGGCCAAGAGATACAAACACGTAATCGCAGTGGATATCGATGCTAATAAATTAGAATTCGCCAAAAGAAACGCCGAGATTTATGGTGTCAGGGAGAAAATTACATTTATACAGGGAGACTTCTTCGAAATTGCAGAAACTTTGAAAAAATATAAGCCACAAGTCATAGTGACGTCTCCCCCATGGGGCGGCCCATCGTATAAGAAACACGAAGTTTACAGTCTCGAGAAGCATATGTGTAAAGACTACGAAGGAGGCGGTAGAAAACTCTTCGACCTGCTGAGAAGTATTGCACCCAACGTAGCACTGCACATACCTAAAACTACAGGTCGAAACGAGGTAAATTATTCTATTTTCTATAGGTAAACCGCAATTGTAGTTAATGTTGAATAATTAATTTTCTAGTTAATACAATTTGGAAAATTATTCGACCTCAACATGGAAATTCAACACAATTATATCGACGAAAGTCACGATTGGATAACTGCATTTTTCGGTCGATTTTTCAATATGAAAACGAAATTCTTATCTAACGACAACAAACTTTATTCAGCTCAAGACCGACTTAACCAGTACAAGAACACCGTAACTCCGAAAGAAACGCAGTCTAAACAGTATGGCACAGAGAATACAGATATGAACCCATATGAAGTTAAAGTAAAATACTGCAAAGAACGAAATCTCAACACTGACATAACAAAAAAAGGCCTATGTACTAAGAAACCAACATTAAAACTAGGCGAGACGCAAAAAGTTAGTTATTTATAATTATCATACATACAATTTTTTATTACTATAATTTTTCCACAGATAATAATAGTTCAAAAACGAACGAAAACATGTTATCTTGTACACTCTATGGAGAGTAGAAATTCTGTTATCACCTTGTGCGATAAACTACGCGAAATGGAAAATAACTTGAGACGCATCCAGAAAGTTGAAAAGTACGACATGTGCTTGATATTTTTTGGCGCTGAATGGTACCGTGGGAAAATTATGGACGAGACGAACGAGGGTATGTTAAAAATTTACTTGATTGACATAGCACAAACGATGTTGTTTAACCGAAAAGATGTCTATGAGATTCCAAAGCAATTTGAAGGAGAGTCTTTATTAATTGAAATTGTCGTAACACCTCCGCCAAAAGAAATACTAACTACTGTTTATGCTAACGTAGAAGCAATAAAAACTATTGTACCGAGTACGGTGGTGAAACTGATTTGATTATAAATTACTATAAACCCAACCAAACCCCTCCTATTCATTTGCATTCGACAGTCAATGTCTATATTCCTTAATGTTGTTAACAGAAGATTACGGGCTGTAATGATGTCTTTTTATATTATATATATTTTTTTCATTACGTTTATTATGAACTATTCGTATTTTCATAACTAATCATCTTATTGCTTTGTTTATTATTTATATATATGCTTGTTGTTGCATTTTCCTTTTTTTTTTTTTTTGCTTTAGTGTTAAACTTTTTTGTTCACTTATCTGTTTAAATCAAATAAAGCTATTTGACACTTATAAAACATTGTTATCATCTAATTTAATTTTACTTATTTTGTACGTCAATTAGTTTCAATTGTAAATCGGTTAAAAAATTGCAGATCACTAGTTAATAACTAAAAGTATATGAAAATAATCAATGTCATATAATCTATGTTAATATATTTATGATTAATGTAATAGACAAATGGAAAAAGATAGAGGTGGTAGGGTGTGTCTAACTATAAATAGTAATTTTAAATTTCCTGAAAGCATATTAATCTTAACAAAATCATCTTTTTAATTCTCATAAAACTTTCTATTTAATGATGTCAATTTCTAACTAGTAATAAGTTGAAATAAAAATCATGGCAATAACTTTTAGCTTTTTTTAATACTCGTTTTTAACTAACAATTAATAATATCAAAAATTAGTGGTGATGGAAAAAATGTAATTGCAGAATTGAAATCAACGTAAAAAATGCTTTTAGAAAAGTATATTTTCGATTCTGACGAAAATTAATTGTAGACTATTTATTCATAATAAAGAATGAAATAGGAGTTAATTTTGCGTTAACGTGGAAATTCAACACAATTATATCGACGAAAGACACGATTCGATAANTAATGTCTATATTCCTTAACGTTGTTAACAGAAGATTACGGGCTGTAATGATGTCAATTAGTTTCAATTGTAAATCGGTTAAAAAATTTTATACGAACAAAAATCATCTCAAGTATTCATAATGTGCTGATTAGTATTATTGTAAAATTATATTTCTAATTCAGCCAATTTATCTAATTAACCACATTATATCGATTCCACATTTCCTAATTTTCAATGGTTATAAACTTACCATTTATAATACCACCGACTTTTGGAATTATATAAATATCTTATAACTATTTTATTTTTGCCACAGATTGCAGTCGGACGACATGATTTAATAAAAAATAAAGTTTAATACATCGTGTTATACGTTTTATTGTATAACATATAGTATTTTTATTCATGTTTCTAGTATATTTGTTTTTGTATAAATTAAATTAAACTTTGTTTTATGTTTCATTTTTTATCTGTATTTAAATTATTCTGTTTTATTATTATAATTTATTATTNACTACTTTAAATTATTCTGTTTTATTATTATAATTTATTATTTAAATTGTTGATTACAAAAATGTAAATATACTCAAATCGCTTAAATTTTCTTTTTATATTATTTTCTATTCAAAGTTTTTTAAATTTTTTTGGAAGTAGGTTTAATTACATTTTTACTTTTAAATAATGAGCTGCAAATAATCAATAATAATTTTTTTAATTTAACTTAATTATATTTTAAGAACAGAATAAAGACTGAAATATTTATTAGCAAATAAAATTATCTGCGTTATTTAAAAAAATTTAGAATATAAGATATAAAATTTGAATTCTTTACATTTTTAGTTTACTATCAATAGCAAGGCTGTCCTTTATTTTGTTATATTATCAAGTAATCATTTAATAAATTATAAAAGTGTAATGTCATTTAATAATAATAGAAAATATTTGGGTATTATGACTTATATGCACTCTAAATATGATTTGTATTTTATTTTACAATATATAATAAGCTTAAATAAGAATGTACAGAATTTATATTCTATACCATTTGTAATGAATAAAAATATACAAAATAATCACTTTTTATACATGTATTGAATAATTTTTGTCTATTTCATTACAAACTAAAATTGAACAGCATTATATGATTATATTTAGTTTTAAAATAAAAGCCTACACATTTGTTGAATAAAAATATTATCTAATTTATATACAGAAATTAAAAATAAAATAAAATATATATATATATAAATATAATCTTATGATAACTTACAAAGGATGGACAAAATAATATGAACTCCATGCAATATAGTTACATATTGTTGCAAGTTGGCTACACTGAATAATTTTTGGATAACATGGTGTAAAATTAGTATATTATTACAATATAGTAGTTATTTATAACATATTAGTGTATAATACAGGTTATACTACGAACGTTAAAATAAATTTAAAATAAAATGCGTGACCTCTCGGACTTCCAAAGAGGTCAAATAGTGGGTGCTCGATTAGCGGGAGCGTCTGTAACGGAGACATCTAAACTGTTGAACGTGTCAAGAGGGTCAGTATCCACAGTAATGACAGCATACACGAAATACGGAAAAACATCATCGGCGAAAAGTAATAGTGGGCGAAATCCAAAGTTGACTGACAGGGACCGACGAACATTAAAACGGATTGTGACAAGACAACATAAAACTACCGCGGCTAATGTTACAGCAGAACTTAACGCTCCTTTGGGTAATACTGTTTCGACAAAAACTGTACGACGGGAGCTTAAAAAAGGTGGTATTTATGGAAGGGCTGCAATTGCAAAACCCTTTTTTACAGAAAAGAACGCCAAGTTGCGAAAGAAATGGTGCCGTGATTATAAAAACTGGACTCTTGATGATTGGAAGAATGTTATATGGTCCGATGAATCATCTTTCACATTGTTCCCTACAAATGGACGGGTTTATGTATGGAGAACTCCAAAAGAAGCGTATAATCCGGACTGCCTGCTTCCTACAGTCAAGCATGGGAGTGGTTCTATATGATTTGGGCAGCCATATCGTGGTATTCAGCTGGTCCTATCATTCAAATGAGTGGCCGGATTACTGCCAATGCCATCTCGATATCCTCAATGTTGAAGTTTTTACCATGGCCAGCATATTACTGCCAAACACTCCCATATTCAAAGATGATAATGCGCCAATACACACAGCGAAAAAGGTTCAGTCTTGGTTCAATGAGCATCAGAATATAATAAAACATCTTCTCTGGCCAGCAAAATCACCAGATCTCAACATAATTGAACCGATATGGGGTGTTTTAGAGTAGAAGGTGAGAAGCAGATTTCCACCTCCAACATCTCTGAAACAATTGGCGGATATTTTGATAGAAGAATGGGACAAAATACCGCTGAAAACGATTCAGGTTCTCTATGAATCTATTCCGCGAAGGATTGAAACGGTTTTAAAAGCAAATGGAGGCCCACACATCTTATTAATAAAAATATATTGAGTATATGTCAGGTGTTCATATTATTTTGTCCACCCCCTGTATATTATAGACTTAAGAATAATCTTGTTATTAAAAAAAAAATGAATTTTAATATATATTTAATACAACATTTACAATAATCTATCTTAAAAATAATCCTTATAAAGTAAATCTTATTAATAAATTATTCTCTAAGTGTTAGTATTAAATAAAAGACTACACATTTGTTGAACTAAAATATTATCCGATTTATACACAGAAATTAAAAATATAATAAAATATATATATAAATATAATCTTATGATAAATTATATTATAGACTTAAGAATAATCTTATTAGTAAAAAAAAAAATATTTTTAATATATATTTAATACAATCTTTACATTAATCTATCTTAAATGTAATCCTTATTAATAATTTATTCTCTAGTGTCAGTATTAAATAAAAGACTACACATTTGTTAAACTAAAATAATATCTAATTTGTATACAGAAATTTAAAATAAAATAATATATATATATATATAAATATAATCTTATGATAACTTATGGCATATACTTATGAATAATTGTGTTAGTAAGACAATCCTTATAAAGTAAATCTTATTAATAATTTATCCTCTAAGTGTTAGTATTAAATTATAGACAGGCCCGTATTTAAGGGAGGGCTCGGAGGGGCAATTGCCCCTGGCGGCAATATTAAAATTAGGTTTAGGGGCGGCAAAATATTGAAATGGTCAAAAATGTAAAATTTATTTGTAGCTCATTTTACCTAATGAGTATAATCATTGATTATAGATAGAGATTATAGATATTATATACTATCTATAATCAATGGTATAATACAAAAATATAATATATAATTAGTATAATAAAAAAATAACTATAATAATATAATTATACCAAAATAGATTTTGAATGTAGAATGTACCTAATAAAGTTCTGATAAAGTTTTTATTCGTTATCAACTCGAATGTCAATAAAATGCTTTGGGCATATTGATGTTGTAAACATATGATTCGTATTTAGTTCTACGAATCGTAGACTATGAAAAATACATACTAAAAATAGAAAATATACAATTGGGGTATTCCCATGATATAAGGAGCTACGAAACTACGACTGCCGATTATTGACAATTTACACTACTATTAAGTATTATTATTTATTATAATATTATCGATAACAAAAATCAAAATACAATTATTAGTGCATTATTCATGAACGAGTACTGACGTGGTGTCGTGGTCTGTTAATCAATCTATTTTAACTATTAATTAATATTATACATTTATACTACGCGTGTATATTCAAAACAGTAAGTATTATAATTTATCATTGATTTTAAAATATTATAAAACCAATAGTATTATATGGTATTTAATATTTATATTGTAGTAAAGACTATTATGATTAATTATTTACAAAATGTTAATTGTGCTTTAATTCTAATAGTTAGAAAAAAAACAATTATTGTTCTTAAGAGTTGCGGAATATTAGTTACGATATAATTTTTCTCATATAAGTCACGAATTTACATTTTGAATAGGTCGGTACATTTTATATTTGTAATAATGTTTTATACCTATTTTACTTAGTTATGGCTCCAAGAAGAAATAGGCTTAGTGGGGCTGAATACAAGAAAATAGCTAAGCTCAAAGAATTTAATTTGAATAAAGTTGTTCAAAAAACTATTAAAATCGACACGATGTTCAAAAGTAAGTATTTTATTTATGTTCACTGTAAA